TTCACCTGATTTAGGAGTATCCCTTCACCTGATTTAGGAGTATCCCTTCACCTGATTTAGGAGTATCATTTCCATCCTGCAAGATAGCAGAAAACTGTCTATCTGCGCAGGTAGCCAGAGCTATAGAGTCGATAAAACTTTTCATTTTGACGGTCACACCTTATGTACAGCCTGAGAAATTAAAGTCGATGTTCTCCGATGAGCGCGCGCTTATTCAACGAAAAGCTCTTATAAAGGAATGTATGGTACCAAGAGAATATGAAGCACTTAATATTCTCTTGATGGTACCACAGCAGGGATTTTGAGAATTTATTTCGAGACTTGTTTTCACCTTAAAACCAAATTTTCTACACCGCATTCGATAGGTGATAGATTTTTAACAAGAAATGCCCATGTGAAATAGGGCTATCTAGTAATCCCCCACCCCTAGGGGGTGGGCCTGTGCTCGACAACATGGCTTTGAATAGCCTACACTCTTTCCCGCAAAATCTGCCATCATCCTCTTTCATCCTGCACGACAGCAGCAAACTATCTACCTGCGCAGGTAGACAAAGGTCAAAAGTCGATGAAACTTTTTATTTGACGGTCGCAGCTTATGTACAGCCGGAGAAATTAAAGATGTTCTCCGATGAGTGCGCGCTTATTCAGCGAAAGGCTCTCATAAGGGAATGAATGGTACCGCAACATGGATTTTGAGAATTTCTTTCGCGACTTGATTTTCACTGTAAAACCAAATTTTCTTGACCGTATTCGATAGGTCATTGATTTTCAACAAGAAATTTCCATGTGAAATAGGGCTATCTAGTATTTTCCTTCCACCCCTAGGGGGTGGGACTGTGTTCAATAACATGGCTTTGGATGGCCCTGGCGTCATCCTCTTCCATCCTGCAAGATAGCAGCTGCACAGGGTCAAAAGTCCATGAAACGTTTAATTTCAAGGTCGCAGCTTATGTACAGAAAGAAATTAAAGATTTTCTACGATGAGTGCACGCTTGTTCAGGTATTTTAAGAATTTCTTCTTTCTTTCAACAAGATATTTCCAGCTAGAATAGCGATATCTAGTATTTTTCACATCACAGTAAAAAATTACTGTCATAATTACAATTACATAATTAAAGATAATAAGAAATAATATTGAAAAAGCTGTTTAAGGCCCCGTCCACACGTATCCGGAAATATTTGTATCCGCAAATTTTTTTCGCGGATAGAGGTTCCGTCCATACGTGTCCGGAAATTTTTGTATCTGTATCCGGAAATTTTCGAAAACGGTCTCCAGAGTGGAAATTTTCGAATACGCTCCGAATACGGATACGTGTGGACGGTCGTATCCGCAAATTTTCGAATACGCTGACGTAAACACGATTTTGCGCATGCTCAATAAGAAAAACTATCCGTCATAGGGACTAGGCACTAGCGTGCATCAGGGCGGATCAAGAAATTTCCGGATACGTGTAGACATTGAAAACGATTCGAATACGTTGCGTGTGAACGCGAACATTTTCATATCCGCAAAAAAAAAAAAATTGCGGATACAAAAATTTCCGGGTACGTGTGGACGGGGCCTAAGATATTTTTTAACATGGAGTCGTTGCCCGTCGATCTCATTCGCCCTTTTCCATTTTCGTTGGGAGAAGCTATTGGACAAAACACAACATACCACAGGAATCCAACAAGCAAGTCTTTCTGCAAACACCCAAAACTCGAAAACTTTGAGGAAGCGCAAAAAATCAAAACTTAGTTTGACTAGTTTTTCCTTATATTTAGTTGAATATTAATATGAAGGCATTGGAATATCGGGTGTGTGGTCCTCAAGCAGTGACAACATCACAGCCTGCAGAAAAGAAAAAAATCATTATTGATGATATGATAAAAACTTCTCGGCCTTGGTGTAATGTTTTGCAATTTCAGACCACATGTCTCTCGTTAGAGTATAAGATTGTTTGTTTGAATTGTATACTACACGTGGTCTGAAATGGGAAAACATTACACCCGAGATAAATAGGTCTATATTTATTTATTTACAATTATATTTAAACAGGATGCTTCTTTGCTATAGTAATTTTCAAGAAGGTCCTGTCCAATAATGTAACAAAATTGAGATATAAAAAAGATTGATGAGACGAAATACAAATCGATAAACGCATAAAATTACATGTCTTGCAAAATACAAAAAGTTAAAAGACATTCTTGTTACGACTTCTTGGCGCAAAGGATCGTTGCAAGAGAACTTTTGGGTGAAAGTTATTGTGTAGTAAATGAGGCTCCAACAGCCTTGTTTTTAAATATTTATTCTGACCTTTCGGGTAAACGCTCATCAGGGGAAATGTGTTAAACTACTTTTTCAAACTGACCTTGTTATGTATGCAAGCAAAATAAAGAGCATGTACTAATCTGGAACTGAGTGTAACAAAGTTCTTGCAATGCTTCTTACCATGACAGTCCACTTGCGATTTTCGGCCACCTGCCACACAAGTGACTTATCAGAATAGAACACTTCTTCATCCACTTCTTCTTTGTGCCGAGGGAGGCAGTGTAAAAAGCAGGCATTCTCCTTTGCAAGGGCCATCAACTGAAGAGGAAAATCTCAAACATCAACATTCTCATTCCTATTTACACGATGCATTCTGGTCTAGCTTGGGTGCAAATAACACTATATAATAAACAATGACAGGATGCATT